ATGATAGGGCGTTTCGCCTAGTTCATTGAAAAGAGTTGTGGTTTACGAAATTGGTAAAAAAGTGAGTTCTAGGACGTCGGTATGACTAGAGGTCATTAGCATACCTGTAGCCGTTCTGGTTGTAGTTCGGTAGGCCCACAAGACGTTGTTGAGCTCGTCTGCCCATTTGGCTTTGAGCTGGTCCAACCTCGGCTTAAGCCCTTCTAGAATAGTTTTGTTCATTGATTCGACCATTCCATTAGTCTCAGGGTGATAAACCGAAGTGAACAGTAATTTAATTCCATAGTTGTAGTAGAAGTCCCTAAAGGAGGTGCAATTGAACTGAGGCCCATTGTCAGTGACAATTTGATTCGGTATGCCGTATCGGCAAATGATTGCACTGAAGACAAAATCTTCAATCCTTCTTGAGGTCAGACTGGACAGGGGTCGTGCTTCGACCCATTTCGTGAAATAGTCGACTGCCACGACCAGATGTGTTACTCCCCCCACACCTTTGACAAAAGGACCGAGCAGATCAAGCCCCCATTGGGCAAAAGGCCATGGTGCCACTAAGTTTCTGAGTTCTTCTGCTGGCTGGTGGGTCAGGTGTGCAAAAAATTGACACTTCTGGCACTTCTGCACAAACCGCGCAGCATCCTCCTGCATGTTAGGCCAGTAGTACCCTTGACGAAGTACCTTATGGGCCAAAGTCCGAGCTCTGACATGGCTTCCACATACACCCTCGTGTACTTCGCGGAGAGCATACTCAGCCTCATAGGGGGTTAAACAGCGGAGAAGGGGAAGTGAGTAGGACCTTTTATACAGAATGCCATCAAGCAAGGTGTATCTTGACGCTTTTCTTCGTAGCTTCAGCTCCTCTTGCTTATCGGGTGGGACAGTTCCATCCTGTAGGTAGGCTTTGATGGGGTCAGTCCAGCTCGGAGTTTCGGGGTCAGTACTGACCTCCAATGCTTCTATCTTCTGGAAGCTAGGTGCGTTTAGGATTTCAATGTAAACAGATCTCCCCCCCCGGGGGGTGTCGGAGGCCAGTCGTGATAGAGAATCTGCATGTTCATTTTC